CCCTCCTTTTCCCGGCAGAGCATCTGGTGGATTCGAACCGTGTGCCTCTGGGATTGTAGTTGCAGCTCCTTGCCACTAGGCCACCAGAGCTCCCCTCTTTGCAACTTTTTGAGAAAGCGCCATACCGCCTTCCACAGTGGTTGCCCCATGTATAGTTTTTTATAACTGGTTAGCTCTCCAAGGCAGTCACCCTAAAATAAAATACCCATTGTTAATTAGCCCTGTATGGTGTTTAACGATTTACGGTTACAAATGGCTTCCCTAGCCACTGACTGACTTTCCCATGTGGATGAGTAGAAATAAGCAAATAGTGTTCCACAAGAGGACTGGCCAGTCTGGTCATTAAATGAAGCTGATATAGCAGCGTAATTGGAGAATCTTCCCCACCAGCAAAGACACACAGGAATGTAAAGCATCCTGCATCCTTTAGGGTCAACCACCAGGCCAATGGGAACAGTTATTTTTAACAGCTGCAACAGAGAAGTAGGGGCTTGACAAGAGTTGAAGAGGACCTTAGGACTGCTATCGCATGGAACCCAAATTAAGAGCCATTGCCCAAGTTCGTGGGTGGACTGGGTAGCAGGATTGAGAGCTTTGTAACACCGGCCAAAAGCCAAGAAGCTCAAGGCTGAGGTGCCTGCGAGCACATTTCAGAAGCTATCCTGACTGAGTGATTACTTCTCACTGACAACCTGAATTATAGCCTTTGATTTCCCTAATAGGGTTCTGTTTGGTCTGTGAACATTGGATTTTGGACCTAGTAAATCAGTAAGATTGGTACTGGGATAAATTGGAAAGAGGAGTGGGAACATGGAAACATGCCTACTCTTATGGGAACTGGGTTTAGGTTTTTCATTTTGTTGACTAGGACAGTTGCCTCCTGTGAAGTTGGTAAAGGTCAGATATGGCTGAACCCACACAGTCCTTGCTATTAGTACACCCTGGCTTCTCTTCTTTTCAATATCTTATTGCTCTTCAAATTTTTAAACCAAAGTATATATTGTCTATACATTCTAAATTAATATATTTGTATTAACTAGTCACATCTGTTTAGATTGATCTTCCTTCAACATTTATCACCTACCGGATTAGGCACATCATATGCAACTCCCTTTCCAAACACAGGCGTTGTCAGACGACTGTAGACATCTTCTGCATTCAGATCTTCATTTTTACTATTAAAAAGAAGTGCAGCTGCATCACTCCCCAGAAGATAAGTAAAGGTCTTGCCTACCATGGTAAAGCTAAATACTGGTCCATACTAAAAAGAGAACAGAATGACAATGATGTTACCACAAAGGATATACCACTAGACTAATTTTTAAAGCCTAAAATCTTATGTTTTTGAAAAAGCAAAACCTTCTTATTACAGATAATTCTGCAATGAACACCTCTGAGAATACAGATTATTTTTCCTTGAACTAAAAAGAATTTCTAGAGTAGGCAAAGAATATGACCATTTTGTAATGCTTACTATATGAGAACTTCAGAGGTTAATACCAACTTTACCACAATCTCACCAAAAGTGAATGATTTAATTTCTTCATTAATGTTCTTAGGCATAAGACTACTTCCTTGATGTTTTCTGATTATTACTGAAGACTAACTATATAAACAATCAATAACCAACTCTCTGTTAAGCAGAGTTTGGGGATATAACAGTGAATAAAATAAGTGTCCTATTTAATAAAGCTTAGGCTATTTGAAAAGATGTAAATTAATCAAATAATCACATAATTGTTGCTGAGTCAATTTCAATTTTTAGTGATCCTACAGGACAGAGTAGAACTTCCCCACAGGATTTCCTAGGCCATAATCTTTACATGTGCAGATCGCCAAGTTTTTCTTCCTACAAAATTGCTAGTAGGTTTGAAAGACTGGCTTTCATTTCACAGCCACACCCTTAAACACTGCACTTAGTGCAAGTCAGTTCTGAATCATAGCAACACACTGGCAGGATTCTGAAGCTGCAACTCTCAACAGAAGACTGGCCATCTTTCTCCCAAGAAGTAATTAACTAGTGGATTCAAACTGTCAGATGGAGCCTTTGGGTTAGGAACTCAACACCCTATATAAATTGGGCCACCAATACTACAAATAGGTCCTCACAGAATTAGAGAGTTGCTTTGGACTGGGTTTTGTATACACATCCTGTCACAAATGCAAGTATCAATATTGAAAGACCAGAACAAAAGATAATGAACAACTTGGGCTACCAAATTTTATTTTCTCAGGAAAAAAACACACTTCATAATTCACAGGGTGCAGCAATGAGCCAAAAACCAACTTATTAAATGGGCACACTGTGTTGCACACCTCCTTCAGGGTAGAAGTATGCCAAAGAATTAGAACAGGCAATTCCATGCATGTGTTATCTGTAACAGGTGGAGATAAAGATGTGAAGGGCAGGCCCACAGGTTGTTATAGATTTCATTGCATCCAATAACACTCCCATGTACGTAATGGCATAAAAATGTTTAAAACTGTGAGGATCTGTCATGATTTGACAAACCAAATAATTGTAAAAGGATTAAGGGTGGAATGTCAGACGCATTAACACCATGATGCAGAATGAATAACCCCACTGTGTGGCCTGTATTATCTTTTTCTCTTACTAGAAATTAAGGGGAAGGGAACCTTAGTACCACTAAGAAATAATTGCCAGGAAGTATGTTCCTTTGGACCTTGTTTCCTGTGTGAGGGCACACAGAATTTCCAAAGAAACAAAGAGAATAGACTTTCCCCTTGAGCTGGCACCCTGAATTTGGACTGGAGGTTAACAAATTACAGTACAATCCTGAAGGCACATAGTTCAAATCCACCTACTGTTCTGCGGAAGAAGGATGGGCAATCTCCTCCCATGTGATTAACTGCCTCTGAAAACTCACCAGAGGGTCAGCAATGGATGGGTCAGTTCCGACTCAATGGTACTCAACAACTATAAGCCTCGTAAACTACAAGGATAAATTTCCATTTACGCTTTGTTCTAGCAGCACTAGATAACTAAGACCCCTGCCTTCATGAGTGTATGCTCACACACTTGAGAAGGGTATAGGGAGAATCAACAATGCAAAGTTTTTTATATATGGAGAAGAGGGAATGGGAGAAGATGCTGCTGTCACCGTGCAATTCTCCTCCACATCACCTCAAACTCTATTTTCCCTGCTGGATGATACAAGTCCCAAGAAAAAGGTTGCATCTGCAGGTGCTAGAGCAAGAGTGATCCCCAAGCAAGAGACTGTAATGATACCTGTAAGCCTGAATGGAAGGAGTTCCAAGAGCCTGATTGTATGGCCTATACATTGTCCACATCTGGCAAAACTGGTGTTGACAGTGAATACTGCCATATGCCTAGAACCCAAGATAGTTCACTAGTATTGTACACACTTGAACCTAGACTGGATTTGCTATTGGTTATCTGTACCAGGGGGAGAAGGATGGGCACTCTCTTCCTGTGTGATCGACTGCCTCTGAAAACCCACTGGAGGGTCTGCTATGGGTCGGTTCTGACTCGATGGCACACAACAACAATCTGTACCAGCACAACAGCTGAGCCTGATGGTGGAAGTTTAGATCAGAATAAATGATAAATGGAAGGAAGGAGAAATACTTGCTGATGTTATAGGGATGAAAAAAAGGGTTATGCAGCAGGTAGAATATAACACCATGCTGATATATCAAAAAAAGTCAAAGGAAAGGAATAACCTTTTGAATTTCATCAGAGCCTAGAAAGTGAAGACAAGACAAACTTGTAGAGAACTTGACCAGATCAGATCAGTTAGGCGCCTCCAGCTCACATGAACAGCTGAGTAACCTCACCTTGGGACTCTGCCCAAAGCCAATGACTGTTTGGATTGGTACAATGATTGGGAGGGGTAAAATGACAGCCTGCATGACTTAATTGATGTGGCTCTCCTCAGCCATTGCTTTTTCCTTTTACTACATAGTTATGTGGTGGTGTTGCCTTTAGGTGCCATCAAGTCAACTACCACTCACAGTGACCCTATGAACAACAGATGAACAAACTTGCCCTATCCTGCACCATCCTCATGATCTCCTAACATGCTGTGAGTCCACTGTTACAGATACTGTATCAACACATCTTGTTGATGTTGTTATTGTTATGCACCATCAAGACAGACCTGAATCATAGCTGACCTTCCAGCAGGTTTTCTGAGGCAGTTAATCACAGGGGAGGAGATTATCCATCTTTCTCTCACAGAGCAGATGGTGGATTCAAATTGCATGCTTTTGGGTTGGCAGCACAACTCCTTTCCACCAAACCACCAGTTTGGACTTGACAGCAGTGAGTGTGTATGAGAGTACTAGAAAAAGTACTAAGAGCTTGGGGAGGTATGGTGGATATCAGAATTGCTAGAAGATGTGTAGCAAAGGGGATGTCTGACTTCACAGTAATCAGCTTTGTGCTAGTGATATTGCTGCTGATGTGTCCTTCCCCTTGTGAAGTTAGTGGAGGTCAAACACTGCCTCTAGACAACCACTGTATTGTTATTAGAGATATCTAAGTCTGGAGCTCAGAGAATAGACTTGAGCCAGAGACATTAATTTGGTAGTCATATAGTAAATAAGGGAAGTTAAAAGTATAGGTAAGAGTAGCAAAGAAAGAATAAAGGACAAGAAGACCTAGGACTGAACCTCAGAGAACACCACATTTAACAGCCAGATAAAGTCCAAAAAATTAGCTGAAGATAAAGCAGTCAAGGAGACAGGAGAAAAACCAAGGTAAGAGTCACAGGAAGTACATATTTTAAGAAGCAGGGAATAGTTCCTAGTAAAGAATATAGCGGACAGGTCATGAAGACTGAGTAAGTGACACAGAATTTGTTGGTGATGGGACTAGAATCTTTAAAGGACACTAATAGAGAACATAAAGACACTTCACCAAAGACATTCAGATGGCTAATAAATACATGAATAAATGCTAAAGAACATTAGCTATCTGAGAGATGCAAATTAAAACAATGAGATAGCATCTCACCCAGCAACAACAGCAAAATTCAATAGGACAGTAAACAACAAATCCTGATAAGAGTACAGACACTGGAACTTTATTCACTGCTGGCAGGAATATAAAATGTATAACCACTATGAAAAGAGGTTTGGTGCTACCAGAGAAAGCAAAAAATGTAAATACCATTTGATCCAGTAATTCTACTGTTACATTGTTGTTACTGTGTGCCATCAAGTCAGAATCAACTTATAACTGACTTTCCAGTAGGTTTTCAGAGACAGTAAATTATACAGGAAGAGACAGCCCATCTTTCTCCTATGAAGAAGCTGGTGGATCTGAACTGCATGCCTTTGGGTTGGCAACAATATTCTAAAGAAATAACAGCTATGCAGTGAAGAGATATATGCATATCTGTGTGTTCACAGCATTGGTATTTACAGAAAACAAAGAGATGGAAACAAGTGTGTATCAATGAACAAACAGTTAAAAAAACTATAGTACATACTCACACAATGAACTACCTGTGCAAGAGAGCATTACACTGAGTGAAATAAGTCAATCTCGAAAGGGCAAACAGTGCATAAGACCACCATCATAATAAGCCAAAGAGAGGTTTACACACAGATTTATTATTGTTGGATAGTTACAAGAGATGAGACAAGAGAGAAAGAATAGTAAAAAAAATAATAAATAGCACTTACTTAAGATAGGTGAAGAGACAAAATACAAGTAGGGCAAGATCAAATATTGTGATATTATAACTAATGTTATAAATCAAAATGTGTATGAATGACTGAATGAAAAGCCCATATGCTTTATGAACTTCCAGTCAAATCACAATAATTTAAATACATGTGTGTTTGTGTTTATATCTTTTTAAAAAATATTTTTTATTATTATTATTATTATTTTGTGTGTACTGTCCAATCAGATCTGACTGCACAGGAGGAGATTGTCCCTCCTCCTTCAACAGAGCATCTGGTGGGTTCAAACCATGCACCTCTGGGATTGCAGTGCAGCCTCCTGCCACCAGATATATATATATATAATTGGTACAGGGTAGAGCAGTATTTAGGGCTGTTGTACAGAGGATCACTATGAGTCACAGGCAACTCGACAGCACATAACAATTTCTTAAAGTCACTCACACATTTTTGTTACAGAAGCACCAGGAAACTAAGACACATTTGAAAGAAAATACTGAAAACTATGCCTTTAAATTACTACTTACCTTCTCATATGCGTTTTCTAAGAATTCAATTGGACTTCTCCCAAATGCTACCGCATGTCCAAGGAATGGAATTGGAGAGAAGATATAAGGTGGACTTTTCTGCAATACAAGACCAAATAAAAAAACCTTTTCATTATCATTTTCCTATTTATTTGAAATGAACTAAAGGAATTTACATAAAATGTCAAGATCACTTAAGAATAGCCAAATTGCCAGTTATTTTGAGAGCAGCCACAATCTAGAGAATATAGATTCAAGACAAAGTATAGAATAAACAACTAGATAAGACTTTGCCATTTCAGAAGCCAGACACTGTCCAAAACATGCCAGATACTATTGATGACTTTAAGTCAACTTTTCTAACAGGAGCAAAAAGCCAGAATGCCAGTGTCACAGCTTCCTCACCAGTGGTTTCTATTATCATTCACAATTTTAGTCACAAAATCCTGCCTAAAGGAGGTTTAGGAAATGTTTAAGAAACTACATTTATCCATACACAAAAGATAATCTCATATTTTCCTCCTTATATATTAACAGGATCCTCTGACTTTAAAGATAAAGGAAGAAAAGTAGATCAGTTCTAGCTGGAACTCTCCAGTACTCACCATAAAGGGAATTTTAGATGTCCCAAAATGAGACTTGCAACATTAAGTCTCCTGGAAATCAAACTTGCAAAGATGAAAAGGGATATTCCTCAGATCTTTGGTGGTTTCAAACAGGAAGAAGCACCACAAATTCAGAGTACTTCTCAGATAATAACAGTATTTAAACCACTAAAATGCACCTTGTCTTTCTAAACATAGATGAATTTCCTCAAAAATCACACGTGTAGGAAAAAATAATACCTTTGTTTTATGCTTGCTCAAACAAAAATTATTTAAAGAGATAGTTCGAAAACGATATAATTATTCCACTGTCAGAAAAAAAAAAGTTGACTAGTAAAGAATGCATTCACCAAATATATCTAGGGGACATGAAGTCAATGGTCAATAGGCATTCTATTAGAGAAACTTCTTTTATTAGCATAATGGGAAAGTTCTTACAATACTCCAATCACTCCCACTCTCCCAAACTGAATAAATCTCCCTTCACACTGATATAAATCGCCATCAAGGGCAATGTCACAGCCCACAAGATGCTGAACCACACAAGAGCAGCTACTAGAACAATGGTCACCAAGGCCACTGCTGTCAAGAACAAAGCCACCAGGGCACCCACCAAGGTCCCCAGAACCACTACAGCAGCCAACACAGCCACGAGGGCGCTCAATGCAATAGCCAGGGCGACGGCTGCCAGTCCAAGCACGGCCACTACAGCAACCAGTGCTGCAGCCAGTACCGCCACCACCACGACCACAATCGCTGCCAGAACGACTCCAGCCAAGACCACCAACACGGCCAGCGTGGCCACAGCGACCACCAGAACTGTAGCCACCAGCACGGCCACCAGCACCAAAGCCAGCAAGGACACGGTGACGGCTGCTACCAAGGCCACCAGCAACAGTGCGGCCGCCATGGTCACTACCCAGGCCCCCAGCGCGCCCACCACCACGACTCCACCGAGAACAGCGGCCGCTGCAGCCGCCAGCGCTGCAGCAGCCACCAGCCCCAGAGCCATGAACACAGCCGCCATCCCCAGTCCTGCGAGCGCCGCCAGGGCGCAAGTCAGCACGGTGGCCACGGCTCCCACCAGCCCTTCCGCTGCCTTGATCGCCGTCGAACCTCCCTCCCGGACCCCCGGGGGTACACCTACCGCCCCGGCCGGCAGCTGGGCTAGGTGGCCGACGGCGAGGCGGAGCAGGTAGACCAGACTGAGGGTGAAAGTGCAGGCGATCAAAAGCATGGACAGGAGGCTGCCGCCTGTCACCTTCTCCATCGCCTGCCCCAGCACCGACCCGCCTGCCTGCAGAAGGCCCAGCAGCGCCATCCCGGCCGCCACCGCCGCTTCAGCCCGTCGGAGACGCTGGAGGCCGAGGTCGCCTTCGCTCCTCAGATTCGATGGAGCGATAAAAGCTGGCAGATGGGCGTCGCGAGGCGGCCTCGGCCCCCAGGTCTCCTTCTAAACCCAGCCCCACCCTCTACCCCTCACTCCCTCACGCACCACCCTGCGCGTCACATAGGGGCGTGGCCTCTGCTTCGTCACGCCCCTTAGCAAAGCTCTGGTATTCTTGCGCCTTCGGCGGGAACCTGAGAGTGGCGTGCGCCTCCAAGGCACTCGGTCATGGGAACAGGGGAGAAGACAGACTTCAGGGGAAATTACCCCTTGAGACGCTCTGGCCACCCCGGCCTGAGCGCCTTGGGTGCGGGGCTCTGGGACACACAACTGGGAGGAACAGGCGGAGGGATCTGCAGACGCGGATGCACCGCGCAGGCACGCTTTGTGATTGCACCGCGCGCCTCTGAGGTGATGTCGGCCTATTTCGCGTCAGCGGTTCTGGTGGCGTGAGCACCGCCCCCTGCCGGGGCGGAATAGGGGCCACAAGGCGGGCTCCCCTGCGGCCGCATGCACCCGCCTAGACAGCGGGACAGCTCTAAATAAACGCTTGGAGTTGTGAATAGGAACCCCACAGTGAGAGACGGGGACATGGGCCATCCTTGCCACCTGAATTCATAGTGGTTTGACAAGCATTAAAATTGGGGCATACGTACCAGGATCGTTAAAAGACACCTTGATGTAGGAGTTTGCAGTCAAAAAAGATTTTTAAGCAGTGGCTCAATGCTACAGGCAAAGACAGCTTTAGCTAGTCTACTCCTGAGGTTTCTAGGGAGCATCTCCTGTCAGATTACTCTCAGATCAGATTATTTATTGTGTCCACATCAAGAGTCAGGTACTGGACACTGAGAATATTGCTATGTGCCACAAAAGCTGCAAGATCCATAAACATGAAAATCACAATGCCTGCTAGAAGCCTCAGGAAATGCAAAATCTCTACCTCCTCCTACTCCCCTTGGCAACTTGCTCCTCCTGTAAAGCCTGTCTATATCCTCCTGATTGCCCTCTTCCTTAAGCCTCAAATCTGTTAGATCACCAGAACTAGTGTTACTACTGAACACCAAGGGGTTCTTTCCCTAGTCAATAGCCAATAAGACAAACAGATTGCAATATCCATAAGAACTTTATTACGCAGATCTGGGAGACAGCAAGTCACATCCAAAACTGCCTCCCCATCTGTGAATGGTCATGGGCTTTTATAGGAGGGTGAGGCTCACTTAACAATGCACTTTTGTTAGTAAAAAAATAGTTTCTACATCTGAAAATAACAGTTCATATTTAAGTACTAGTAATTCAGAAAGGGTTTTTCTCTCTGGAGACTAAGGTGCACCTGATACAGGCCATGGTCTTCGCAATCACTTGTTATGCATCAGAGAGTTGGGCAATGACTAGGGAAGGATAGAAGAATTTATGCCTTTGAGCTGTGATGCTGGAGGAAGTATTGAGGGTACCATGGACTGCCAGGAAAACAAACAGATTCAGCCTTGAAAGGGTTAAACCGGGAGGCTCCTTGGAGGCAAGGATTCTGAGGATCCATTTAACATACTTTGGACACGTTGTAAGGAGAGACCGAGGGACCGGTCCTTGGAGAGGGATATCATGCTTGGGAGGGTGGAGGGACAGCGCAGGAGGCGAAGGCCCTCTATGAGGTGGATTGATTCAGTGACTGGGGTAATCAGGATGGGTGTGTCGGAGAGAGTGCGATTGGCACAGGACAGAGTTTAGGGCTGTTGCAAGCGACTCGACGGCACACAACAACAACAAACATATATTATTGGGGAGGGGAGAACCCATAACTAAAATTTAAAGGTTCATGGGTTTTTTTTGAGAAAATTTGTATTTAGGATTAGCCAGCTAATTGAGGATTAGTCCTCAATTTAGATGATCCCAATAGGTCTTCTTCTCTCCATCAGGTCTAATCAAGGTGTTGCCGTTGGCCACATCAATGTCATAGAGCTTCTTTACAGCTTGTTTAATTTGGTGCTTTTTGACCATCCACAATGAACACAAGTGTGTTGTTATAATCCATCTTCTTCATGGCCGCCTCGGTGGTCATGGGAAACTTGATGATGGCATAGTGATCAAGATTGTTTCTCCTGGGGACGCTCTTCTGAGGGTATTTGGGCTATCTTCGGAGTCTAAGCATCTTGGGGCACCAGAAGGTGGGTGATGTGCAAATCTTTTATTTTGTGGCTGTGGATGCCGTTCAGGACTGCCGTCTCGGCCTTTAATGCCTTTGGCTTTGGCTTCCGTTTTGGGAGGGGCAGGGGCTTCCTTCTTCACCTTGAGTCTTTCTCAAAGTTTCCAATTTCCTGTGTTAGCACCAGGCATCCTCTTATTAATCAGCTCTGTGGTTGTCTTGCCACCTTGTTTCTCCTGTCGTTTTCCTGTTTTCATATTTCTGTTTTTGGGATTTATCTTTAGGATTTTACAAAAGTAATTGCAGCCTGCTAATATTTACTCGATTCTGTCACATGGAACAAGACTCCCGAATTCGAGACAAACTATTACTCAGGACACAACAAACAGAAGAAGTTGCAGTATGTGTATATATCAATTCACTTTGTCCCCAGATGGATGTTAAACACTGAACTTGAAGAGCAAAACACTTTACCTATCTTTCTGCCATCTTTCCGGGCCACCATAATGGTGCGCATGAACGTCCTGGCCGTTTCTCTTAAGAGCATTGACAATGCGGAGAAGAGACGCAAGTGCCAGGTTCTTATCAGGCCGTGCTCCAAAGTCATCGTTAGGTTCCTGACCGTGATGATGAATCATGGCTATACTGGCGAATTCGACATTATTGATGCTAACAGAGCGGGGGAAATTGTTGTCAACCTCACAGGCAGGTTAAACAAGTGTGGCGTTATCAGCCCCAGATTTGATGTGCAGCTCAAAGATTTAGAAAAGTGGCAGAATAATCTGTTCCCATCCCATCAGTTCTGTTTCATTGTACTGACAATCTCAGCTGGCATCAAGGACCATGAGGAAGCAAGACAAAAAACACATAGGAGGAAAAATATGGGAGCAAGAGATACACATGGAGGAGTTCTCCAGGCAGGGGAAGATTTCCAAGTAAATGATGCAATCATGTGTTTATTTGTGCTTATTTACTAACCTGTGGGAGCACTGGTAGCTGAGTGGTAAGAAGCTGTGTTGCCAACCCAAAGGCACACTGTTCAAATTTACCAGGTGCTCCATGGGAGAAAAATGGGCAATCTTTTTACAGCAACACTAATCTTTAGAAATCTTGATCCCTATCAGGAATTGTAAATACTAAAAGAAGAATTGCTTTTCCAGGAAGTTGCTGTGGGATGGGAAGAGAGACAGATGGCAACCTCACGTAGAAGGAGAATTTTTTATTCCATATAAAATGTGAAATTGTTCACTACAAATTAGCAAGCAAGAACAAGTAAACCTATGCTTATCTCGTTTATTGGTTAATATATCACTGCTCCCAAAAACATCCTTCTTTGTTTATGTAGCTTCTTATCCATTCTTAATAATTCAAGACAGCTTTCCCTTCCCTCAGAGAGTCTTTCCTGGCATCATTATTTGAAAGCCCCTCTCTGTATCCTCCCAGGATATAGAGCTTTCTACAGACCTCTGTTCTAACATCCAGAAGGTACTTAGTACATTCTACCTTGTACCAAATATTTTTCTAGGTGTTAGGTGTAAAGTTATAAGTGGAATAAGATAATCTATCTTCTCATGGAACTCTTTGTTGTTATGTGCCGTCGAGTCACCCATGTACAACCCCATGTACAACAGCTCTAAATCCTGCTCTATCCTGTGTCAATCTCACCGTTTCTGACACACCTACTCCCATTACCCCAGTCACTGAACCAATCCATCTCATCGAGGGTCTTCCTCTCCTGCACTGTCCCTTCACCCTCCCAAGCATGACTTCCCTCTCCAAGGACTGGTCCCTCCTTGCAACATGCCCAAAGTATGTCAGACAAAGCTTCAGAATCCTTGCCTCCAAGGAGCAGCCCGGCTTCACCCTCTCCAGTACAAACTTGTTTCTGATAGCAGAAGTCTTCTTCCCTTATTGATACAAAACTTAAGAACAGATGGCCCTTCCTCCATTTATGTCTTGTCACTCAGTTAAAGCTTTACAGGACCTAGGTTACACATAACAAAATAATCCCACTTCTAAAAAAGAAAAATAATAATCCCACTTTTAATGGAGAAAGAGTGGAGATGAGTACATTCACTTCAGTTCTTAAACCTGTGTGTGTGTGTGTGTGTGTGTGTGTGTGTGTGTGTGTGTGTGTGTGTGTTAAAAAAAAATCTATGTTTGAACACCAATGAAAGGCACTGGCCTTTTCCTATAAAGTTTGACTTGTGTTGAGACAATTCTTGTAACAAAAGATTTTTAAATGGAATGGTTTCTTTTCCAAATTCAAAATCAGCATTAAAAGGCAACAGAGCAAAACAGAGTCTGTAACATTTTATTGTTCCAATAGAGTGGTACTTATAACTTGTGATAACCTGTTAGAAATTCATAAAGAAAATTTGCTAAAATAAAATGAGACAACTTAAAAATCCAGTTCCACTTTTAAGAGCACATCATAAGTTTTCTGTTTTTATTATGGATTTGCAGTTCAGAATTTAATGGTACGTGTAAAAAGTTTGAAGGCTGTTATTTTGTCCATAATGTCATATGCTCCTATCATAGTTAGTATCCGAATCAGTTGATCCCTTAAAGCAGCTGCAGGTAGTGATGAGTTAGTACTTTTTTTCCTCCACAGCACAAGTGCTTCGTGGACTCTTTCACTTAATGCTAAATTGCTAAAAATGTAAAAAAGAAAAAAAAAAGTCTTTATTGAGAACACTGTTTTAAGTGATTTAATATTATGTATCTGTCTAGTAGATAAGCTAATTTCTGAAATTATGTTGTCGGGTGGGAGCCAATTCACAGCTGTCCCTCCACAGGATTTTCAGGAGTTATTAATCTCTCAGGAGTTTGCCCATCTTTTTCCTGCAGAACAGCTGAGAGATTCAAACGATGTGTCTTTGGGTTGGCAGCACAACTTCTCACCACTAGACCACTATAGCCTCCTATCAAATTATACAGTGGTGATTAAATTAATTGCTTTAGAGAATCTGTATAAAATCTTAGTCCAGAGCTTGGTGCATAAAAAGCGAGAATTAGGCCCACCTCTGCTTGATTGTCTTTTAGGAAATGAACAGTCCAATATATAATAATTTTAAGGGAGTCTAGGGAGCCCTGGTGCCTTAGTGGTAAGGAATGTCACTGGCAATGCAAAGGCACATGGTTTGAATCCTCCACAGGAGAAGGATGGGAAATCTCCTTCCTTTTGAGTTACTGCCTCTGAAAATCCACTGAAGAGTCCGCAATGGGTCAATTCTAACTTCATGACACATAACAACAACAAAGAGAGATTTGTTTAGCCTTTAATATAACAGTAATTGTGAATTGTTTACTATAAATCAATAATTTCTACTACTGGAATAAAACTAAACTCAAACTCATTGCTATGGAATCAGAACTGACTCAAATTTTTAGAGACTGTAAATCCCATGGGAGGAGACTGCCCATCTTTCTACTGTGGAGCAACTGGTGGATTCCAACTGCTTGCCTTTAGGTTGGCAGCACAACTCTTTGCCCATTGAGCCATCACAGCTAGTATATCCACTTTGGCCAGTGAAGAAATTTTTTTAATTTTTTTTAATTTTATTATTGTGTGTGTACCGTCAAATCAAATCTGACTGGTACAGGAGGAGATTGTTCCTCCTTCTCCAGCAGAGCATCTGGTGTATTTGAACCGTGCACCGCTGTGATTGCAGTACACCTTCGTGCCACTAGGCTACCAGAGCTCGCCGCCAGTGAAGAAATTAAGGCACCAAATAGCTAATTGGATTGGCCAAGGTCACAGAACTAGTAAGTGGTAGAAGTGGGATTTAAAGTCAAGCAATGTGTCTTCAGGGCCCTTGTTCGCTCTTATTGTGCCAAAAGACCTCCTGACAAGGGTCATCAATATATAATAAAACACAGTGCGTTTTCCACAGAAATTAGAGTTCATGCTAACTTGAATGTCTCATAAGCCATGTAATAGCTATACAATAGGAATCTAAATAGGAGAATAAATTTGTCACTTTCATACATACCTATGGATATTAATTTCAGAATGTGCCAGGTTTAGCTTCTGACATAAAAATTCAAAATTTGTTTCACTGATGTGTTTGGCAACTATTGTGAAGACCTTCTCTAAGATTTTCTCTACAAATGAAAAGGAAATTGAAAGCACTTCTTTTGACAAAGGTAGATTTTGCATTAACATTTTATCTAGTTTCTTACTATACAAATTATATTTCTGTGATTTTATCAAATGTATTTAACAAGTAAAACTAAAATATAGATCTTACACACAAATCCAAATTTGAATACTCTTTGTTTAAAAATCTGAATAACCAATTGTTTAAAATGGTCATCTATTTTCAAGGTTACTATAAGAAACTATTTCAAAACCTGGATGTGCTCACTAAGTTGTGCCAGGAAATCTGGAGAACAGCCAGTTGGCCAACTGATTGGAAGAGATAGATATTTGTACCCATTCCAAAGAAAGGTGACCCAGCAGAGTGTGGAAATTATTGAAGAGTATCATTGATATCACATGCAAGCAAGATTCTGCTAAAAATTATCCAAAAACGTTTGGAACAATATGTCAACAGAGAACTGCCAGATGTGCAGGCTGGATTTAGAAGAGGTCATGGTACTAGGAATATTTTAGCTAATGTTAGATGGATCCTGGCAGAAAGCAGAGAATACCAGAAGAATGTCTATCTGTGCTTCATTGACTATGCAAAGGCTTTTGACTGTATGGATCACAAGAAGCTATGGCTGACTCTGAGAAGAATGGGAATTCCAGGACATTTGTGCTAATGCGAAACCTATACTTGGACCAAGAGGCAGTCGTCAGAACAGAGCAGGAAGACACTGGATGGTTCAAAATCAAGAAAGGGGTCCATCAGGGATGTATTTTGTCTCCATACCTTTTCAATCTGTATGCAGAACAGATCATCCCAGATGCTGGGCTGTATGAGGAGGAATGTGGCATCAAGATTGGTGGAAGAATCGTCAACAACCTGCGTTATGCAGATGACACAACACTGCTCGCTGAAACTGAGGAGGACCTGAAGTGCTTGCTGCAGAAAGTCAAGGACTGTAGTCTTCAATATGGATTGAAGCTCAATATCAAGAAAACAACGATTCTCACCACTGAGCCATTTGGCAGCATTAGTATGGATGGTGAAGAGATTGAGATACTTAACAGTTTTAGTTTACTTGGCTCCACAGTCAACACTCTTGCTAGCAGTAGCCAGGAAATCAAGAGACGAATTGCATCGGGAAAGTCAGCTGTGAGGGACCTCTCAAGAGTACTGAAGAGCAACGACATCAGGCTGGAGACTAGGGTGCGCCTGATCTAGGCTATAGTCTTTGCAGTACGTGCTATGCATCGGAAAGTTGGACAGTGAATAAAGATAATAGAAGGAGAATTGATGTCTTTGAGCTGCAGTGCTGGAGAAGAGTGTTGAATATACCATGGACTGCTAGGAGAACAAACAGGTTTGTCTGGGAGAGGGTGAAGCCAGAATGCTCCTTGGAGTCAAGAATTCTTAGGCTTCGTCTGACATACTTTGGCATGTTGCAAAGAGGAACTGGTCCTTGGAGAGGGACATCATATTTGGGAGAGTGGAGGGATGGCGCAGGAGGGGAAGACCTTCGATGAGATGGATTGGTTCTGTGAGTGGAGTGATGGGAATGAGTGTGTTTGAGAGGGCAATGTTGGCACAGGATAGAACAGTGTTTAGGGCTCTTGTACATAGGGTCACTATGAGTCGCAAGTGACTCGAAAGCACATAACAACAGCAACAACATAAGAAACTTCAAAGTGATTTCCTAACCCTTTCTTTAATTTTTTCCAAATCTATTTGAAATTCATTTTACTCATTTGCACGACCTTAAGCTCATGTTTACTATTTCTATACCACATACAGCACATTATCTGCAGTATGGAAACAATTTCTCTAAAGAGAGTTAGTTTAGACATAAGCATATTGTTTTTCTTAAAAGCTTCCAGTTAATGTGAACTAAATGACCAAGCTTCATCTTTCACACTTTGGAGACCGGTTATTTCTTGGAAAGGGACATCACTCTTGGAAACATAGAGGGTCACTGAAGGAAAGGACCCCTAATGAGATGGATTGACACTGTGACTTCAGCTATGGGCTCTAGTGTCCCATAATTCAGAATAGCACAGGATAGGGCAGGTTCAGAATGGCTGTTCATAGGGTCGCTATGAGTCATACTCGACTTGATGGCATCTAAAAACAACAACAACATCTTTTTGTTAATCAAACTTTTGTAACAATTTTCAAGAACTAAAGCGATTCCCCACCCAATTCCTTTCAATTATGTCCTTTGCTTTCTTTTATTTTGTGCATATTCTTAAGGCTAATAGTGTGCAAATTATATACATGAAAATGCCAGTCTTTCAAAATAAAATTTTGAAAAAAGGGATTTTGTTAAGTTAGTAGAAAAATGTTCAAGGCTTGCTTGTTTTTATTAACTTTGGCCTGTTTTCATTGTCTATTACACTTTCCTCACAGAGGCCAGAACCATGTAAATCTTTCCTCTGGAAGCTGAAAAGTAAAATTTTAGCAGAAAGGTTCCATCTGAGAGGAAAAGGGAGTGGCGAGTGTGCGTGGCAAATACCTTTTATAGGAACAAGTCAAACTCAAACTCACTGTCACAGAGTCAGTTCTTACTTGGAGAGACACTCCACTGGGGTTTCCAGGACTGTACATCTTTACAGGAGGAGGGTGCCCATCCTTCTCCCACAGAGTAGCTAGTGGATTCCAACTGGCAAATTTTTGGTTAGCAGCCTGATACATTTTGCACTACACCACTAAGGCTCCTTCCTAAAGTTACCATAAATATCCCTTACTAATTAGTAGAACCAGTTTTCACAGCAAGTTAGAAAATGTGGCTACTTTGACTTTTAATTCTGTCTCTTAGGTCCTTTTTATTATTGAGGCTCAAGTCTTCCAAAAGCTTTTGGATGATAGCTGTACATTTCCTGTTCATCTTTTCATATAGTTTATGCTGGCATGTAGAAAGAATGTATGATAGAATAATTTGAGAGGACAGTTTTAGATCACATTTCCCCAAATCTGAATCAGCAATTATTGTTTAATATTATTAAACTGATGATTTAAAAATCCAGATCCGCTCTGAAAAGTGTCAGAATTTCAGAGAAAAGTCGCTGATCTCAGCCCCAGAAAGAGGATTATACAGGGAAGTTTCCCACTCTGAGAGACTTAGAAAAACCAAGTATCTAGCTGATTCAGTAGGAGAACATCTAAAGAAAATGGCCCTGCTCTCAGAATATTCAGAGACATTCAACAAGAGATGATGAGAAAAGATGACGTCCACAGGTTGGAGTCAGGATCACTCCGGGTCAAAAACTAAATGGCATCTATGGATTCCCTTCAAGGCCAAATATATCATTTAGAACAAGTTTGTATGGATCACAACCAATGACAAAATCAGATTGTGGATTCTCTGAACAAAAGATACAACCATATGAAAATCCTATTGAAGGACTCTGTCAGAAAGAAAACCTCTCATTAAACAATCTTTTATTTCGAGATAACGCTAGAAATGATGTGTGAGAAGCCATTCACTCATCACCTACCATCTCTTTCTTCTGACTTCTGTAGATAGTGTACAATAGTATGCAGGTCTTTCCCTTTACAGATTTCCATGGGGGGTCTCACCAAAGGGTTGTCATCAAAATTTATCTTTTTCAGTGACAAAAGCTTAGAGATATCACAAGGCAGAGCTGTTAGATTATTTCCTAGTGTGTGTGGGGGGGGGAGAATCACAAATACAATTGTATCACTCTGTAAAAGAAAACCATGCAGACAAATAATAACTATGAATGGGGAATCTATTATGTCTCTTTGGCAAATGAGCAGGGATCCTCATATTACCAGCAAAGCATATGGTCTTTTGTCCATTTGCTAGCACTGAAAAGGAGCCATGGTTACTTTCTCTTCGGAGGTGACAGCATAAAAGAGAAACTTTGCTCTAATATATACATATCAAAGGACTTTACCAAATCACATGAAAGTATTTTTAAATAAACTTTATATTCTGAGTAGTTTTACAAAAACATTGCAGAAATGTGAGAGTTCCTGTATACTCCTCACACAGTTTTGTTACCTCTAGGATGTCATTTTACATTACCTTGTTACATTTATCAAGTCTAAAAAGTATTTGGTAAATTTTTATTGTTGAAACGCCAGACTGCTAAAACATTTTATTGCTTTCACCATTAATATCTTATTGTACCAGAACCCATTCCAAGATAAAAGGTTGCATTTGATTGTTTTCTTAGCCTCTTCATATCTGTGATACTTTCTCAGTCTTGCTTTGTTTATTATGACTTTGACAGTTTTGAAGGGTACTAGCTAGGTATTTTGGAAGCATGAGTGGCATCCACTTCCTAAATAACATGCCTCTGGAAACTCTATGAACTTTGATAAATGTCAATAGTTGTAGAAGTGCTTCAAGCCTTCTCTTTATAGGGTTTCTGTGAGTCAGTGCTTGACTTGAAGGCAGTCAACAACAAGCAGCTAGGTATTTAGAAGAACATTCTTGTCTTTGGGGTTATCTGATGCATCTTCTCACCTTGGGCTTACATAGATTTCAGAAAGAAGAGGCCACATGGCAGCATTAGTGATGCTAACCTCAACCCTTTGGCTAAGGTGATGTTGACAGGTTTTTCCCACAAATGACATCTTTTCCCTTTTCTGTACACTGTTAGGTGGCAGAAGGCAGGGGTTGGTGGAGGGTAGAGAAGGGAAGGATTTAGGTCTCTTTCTTTAAATGGAATTCTTTAAATACTTCCTCAATCCAATATTAATATAATATAAAAAGTAACTGGTACTGACAAAGTAATCATGGTTTATTTATTTAGGCAGAAGTTTACCTTTATATTATTTATGGTTATACTTCTATAATTCTATAACTTAGAGACAGGAATATTTTAAGTGTTTACACATAATAGATAAATAAAGGAGATCTGAGGGGGTTTTTTCCCCATTATTTAACAAACAAGATCTGAGTGCTATTTTTTTTTTTAAATTTTATTATTTTTGTTTGAGTGTACCGTCAAATCAGATCTGACTGGTACAGGAGGAGATTGTCCCTCCTTCCCCGGCAGAGCATCTGGTGGATTCGAACTGTGCGCGCCTCTGGGATTGTAGTTGCAGCTCCTTGCCACTAGGCCACCAGAGCTCCCCTCTGAGTACTATTTTTCCTCATTGCTTCAAGTCAAGTTGGTTCCAACTCATAATGATCCCATATACCAAGGAAACCCTGCTCAGCTCTGTGCCATCCTCACAATCTTTCAAATATTGTTGTTGCAACTGTGTTAACATTTCTCTTGAAGAATCTTCTTCTTTTTCAATTATGTTTTACTTTACCAAGTGTGATGTCTTTCTCCAAGAATTGGTCACACTAAATGATATGTCTAAATTATACATGAAGCAGTCTTGCCATATTCACTCTGAGGAGTATTCTACTTGCATTTCTTTCAAGATGTATATATTTGCTCTGCTGGCAGACCATTATATATTTCATATTCTTCACCAACACCATCATTCAAAACATCCGTTCTTCCCACTCTTTCTAATTCACTGTCTTGCTTTCACATGTACATAGGACAAATGAAAATCCCATGGCTTGTGCTAGGTGCACCTTAGCCTTTCACGTGCTGTCTTTGATTTTTAAAGGAGTAAATCGTTCTTTTCAGCATCTGAAGTTTTGCCAGTGTATTAACACATAGGATTTCTTGATTACTTCTTCCATGAGTATGACTGTGGACCCAAGTAAAATGAAATCCTTGACAATGTCACTCTTTTATCTCTTTATCATGGTGTTGCTTTTTGATTCAGGTGTGAGAGTTTTTATTTCTTTGCTTTGAAGTGTAACTAATAATGAATGCAAGTGATCCAAGTCTTCATTTTTAGGAAGCAAGGCTGTATTATCTATATATCACAAGTTGTTAGTAAGTCTTCCTTCAATCCTGATGCCATGTTCTTTATACAATCCAGCCTCTCATATTATTTACCCAGCATTCAGACAGAAAGCTATGATGAAAGATTACAATCATGCTATATATTCTTTTAAGGAGAAAAAGATTCCATAATATATGAATTTATTCTACAGAAATTCAGATAATAGGACAAAACAGGATAAATTACACTGAAATGAGGAAAACCATCAACCTAGTGTCAAAGGTGTTCCACTGAATCATGACTACATGGCTTTCATTTATAAGACATGGATCATGGCTTTAGACAGTACAAATGCAAAAAACAACACCCAAAGATTACTGGAATACACAATTTCAAGTTAAAATGCTTACAGCATTGTTTCTGAGGTTCCTGTATCTTGGTTATATGGTAGGTAGAGCTATGGACTTAAGGGAAACATTAACAACACACTCAGGGCAAGTAATGGTAAGGAATGGCACTGACAAAGCTATGTGGTTCAAATCCACCAGCTCCTCTGCAGAAGAAAGATGAGCAAATCACCTTCTGTGTGATTTACTGCCTCTGAAAAATCCTCTAGAGGGTCAGTTTGGAGTTGGTTCCATCTTGAAAGTACACAAAAATAACAAAATGCTCATCTGAGTAGATGGGAAGGAGACTTGATGCCTTTTAGTTGTGGTGTTGGAGAAGAGTACTGAATAGTCCATGGACTGTCAAAAGAACAAACAAATCTGTCTTGGATAAAGAGCAACCAGGGTGGCTCCTTGGAGACAAGGATGGTGAAACTTCATTCCACATACTTTGTCATGTCATTAGAAGGGACAAGCCCTTGAAGAAGGACATCAAGATCAGAAAGGTGGAGAGCATTTGTGTAAGAAAGGAAGACTCTCAACAAGATGAATTCACCTCTTAACTATTATAATGGGTTCAAATATATTGGAGATAGTGAAGATGGCATGAGATAGGTTAAGGTTCAGATCAGTTGTTTATAGGATTGCTTTGAGACACAGTAGACTTGAGGGCATTTTACAACATGATCATGAAGCTTAGTCAGTAGGAGAGTTCTGGCGGACAGTCCATAAGGCATGCTACCCAAAGGCCTAGCACCTCTTTGGCAGTTTGAATAACTAGCAACTCTGCAGGGGAAAAAGATTGGCAATCTCCTCCCATGAAATGTAAAGCCTCTACAAGTCTTCTAGAAGGTCAGCTATTAAAAGGTTTTTACTCAAAGTAAATGACGATTTGTGGGGAAGCTTTTTTTTTAGATGTTCATCTGATACAAGTAGGTTTAGAAACATAATCAAGATACAAGTATGGTCAGAAACACAATCAAATGGCATCTGAACCTATATTAAGAATTGACATGGACATACCACCCAATATAGACCTCAGCCTTCCATAAGCCAAGAGCTTCAAATTTTAAGCTCTACTTCAATGCTACTTCTCTACAAAAAAAATCCCTGCAATTCTGTATTATATTTTTTCAATTGATTGAAATGCTATATTCAAATAATGGAAGCTCAGTCGTGCTGTGTTGTTACCAAAAGACTGGATAGAGTAGGAGAAAAATAGAAATAGAGTTCAATAATGAGAATACCTACTGATTTGAGAAAGACTAGTAGGAACCCTGATATTACACCATTATTCACCCCTTTGAGTTTGGACTCAGCATTGGTTCAACATTCAGCCAAACAATATAGCTGTTATGTACCTGCAAATTGGAGCCTGCTCATAACCCACGAGTGGGTTTTCAGAGGCAATAAGTCATAAAGGAGGAAATAGTTCATCTCTCTCCCAAAAAGCAGCTGGTAGATTTGAATTATATGCCTTTGGACTGGCAGCACAAGTCCTTACCACTAAGCCACCAAAGCGCCCTCACAGCCAATAATAAACAGGCCGATCAGTTAAGGGTCATCCCTAAAACTAAGGTGCTATTCAGAGTAGAACGATGGATCAGGAGGGCAACTTTTCTAGGGCATAGGGTTCAGAGGGCAAAAAGGAAGGCGGAATTACAGTCTACTCTGTAATCTTTCACACCGACTGTCCTAAAATTATTTTTAATAGGGAACACTTACATAATCCTAGATTTCAGAAGTATCTATAATGATACATTACTGTCCATAATCAATAATACACTACTGATTATTAATATAATATTGTCATTTACTGTCTTTAAAGTCTATGATCCCAATTAAACCACTTACCTGTAATATTTTTGAGAGAAATAGAAAGAATGCATATTCTTGGTGGAGGACAGAATGGGGCAAGACTCTATAATTCAGTAGATCAAGAGATTACTGTTTAATATCCCAGTATCTTTCTAGAGAAGCCTGCAGATGGTGAATTTCTTACTTTTCTAATTCAAAACTGCTTGGCTGGGTCAGTAAATGGGTAGAATTTTAAGATATTTAAAACATTCTGAGGTACTGTTGTCTGGGACAAGTCCACGGCTTGTAATCGGTTTCAGCAACTTTGAGATATCTTCTCAAAGAAACCAGTAAAACTGAAGTTTCTCAAATACTCTATTTTCCAGTCAGCATTAGATAGGTCACTATGGAGGGCGGAGTTGAAGGACGAGGGTAAACTGGTGATTGGACGATGATAGAAGGCAAGGAGGGACAACGAATTCTGAAAAGTCTTAAAATTCCATCCTTGCCTGGATGCTGATATACTCTGGCTAGGTTCTCTCCGATTGAGAGAACTTCTGACCGGCAGGAAAAACAGTTTGACATTAGTGGAGAGGATTCTCCTTTCTTTGTCTTCTGAAAACTACCTCTTTTACCTTCAAAGCCAACTCACCAGAATCCCACAACCCGGCGTCCACCAGCGATGAGATGCCTTTCCCCTCTGCTGCTGCCTCAATCATTCATTACATTCTAGATAGCGTTTTACTGTGGTGTTTGTTTCTTTCTTTCCTCCAAGTCGTTCAAGCTTCTTTTTTCACGATCTTCATTTTCCCTCTGAACTCGTTGGTCTTTCCATGGAGTTTTCTAGACGTGAGTCTGGCGTAGAAAGTGGGCCTGAGCGTAGCTGTCCGCAGGCCCTAGATGTATTCAGTCTGTTACCCTCCTTCCCAAAGGGCTGTGATGACTGTCCTGGACTCTATTGGACTCCTCTGTTCTAGTATGAGGGATAAAAGGCAGGATGCTCTTTTAAGGAATAGAATAGAAGTAAACATGTTCGAAGCAACAATCTCTGAACGCACTGGTTTGGGGCATTTGCTGAAGAGATCCACTTTTGAACTTTTGAGTAGTTTTAGGTTTGTTTGTTTTTTCTCATCTTCAACTTCTTAACCTCCACCATACAGTGGTTTTTCTTCTCATTCTTTTAATAGTATTTTTTGAGGAGCAGATATTTCTAATATGGATGAAAATCTACTTATCATTTATATTTATTTTGGGTTGTGGATAATATTTTCTCGAGAAAAATATGTGGCATTTTTTATTTTAAAAATTGTAGTTAGTGAAAGCTTATAAATATAATTCAATTCCTTTAATAAATTAATGGAAAGCTATTAACTCTCAATGATTACTATTTGTCACTGGGTTGTTTTTTTCTTGTTTTGTTTTTTTAAATTTCATTTTAAAAATCCAAAACATTCTCTAAATTTAACATGGTCATAAATGCTACTACCATCTGAAAGGTAAAATGCCACAAATCCAACTATTTGTATGGTAAAGATATAACCAAAAAAGTATCTATATGAAAGACAAAACATAATTAAAAAGTTTCTCCTCCATGTTCTCCCCAAATCATGAGTGATGAAATTAGTTTTCTATCCCACCCTCTCCCTAAGTCTCCCTGTGTCCCTATTACCTTCAGATAGTCTCTATTTACCTCTAATTTTCACAGCTACAATTGTAGTAATAAATCCCCTCTTCTTTTGCCCACACTATATGCATCAACGTTTGGAAGTGGATGTAGATGTTGATGTTGCCTTTGGGTCAGAATCGACCCAGCTGACCCTACAGCAGGTGTTCAGAGGCAGTAAATCGCATGGGAGGAGATGGACGATCCTTTTCCCATGGAGAAGCTGGTGGATTTGAACTGTGTGCCTTAGAAATTGCAGCGCAACTTCTAACCGCTAGGTCACCAGAACTCTGCTGGGAGTAGACACATTTTCTTTTCTATCTGTAAGTTAGGAAGATTTCATAGCAAAAAAAGAAGAAAAATATAAATCTACTATGCTTTCAGAAATATCTTCAGGGTGAGTGATTTACTTTTGAAAAGACAATGTGTTATGTTGTGTACCATAGAGTCAGAACCTATCCATAGCTGATCCTCCAGCAGGTCTTTAAAGGCAGATAATCACATGGGAGGAGACTGCTTATCCTTCTCCGGTTGAACAGTTAGTGGATTTAACAGTTAGTGGATTTGAACTGTATGCCTTTGGGATTGCAGCACAGCTTCTTACCACTAGACCCCCAGAGTATTCTAGGGGAGGAAAATAGAATCAGAGGAAAACTCAGAAAAGCTCAAGCTGAGAAAATGCAAACTTGGATTTGCCCAGGAGAGTTCAGGTTCAGAGAAGGTAGAAATAGAGGGATAGTTTGCGTATTGTCAAGAAGACAAAAACAAATGAAATTGTGTTCAATTTCCTCAGATCCGTTATAACAACTCTCAGAGCAGGAAGTGGATTTATGCATTTTGCTCATTTCCTGTGCCTTACATGATCATCTTCTTTCAGTGAACACCTGATGCTTTGTGCTGACGGTTTCCTCTTTTATGTCTTACCAATAAAATTCACAACTTGGATGATAATACACTGCTTAATTAAATACCCTTATTGATAATGTTTGAAACTCACCACTCATGTTTAGTTCCTGGAGAGCATTTAAAAATAGAAAAGATGATGGCAGAGAACTTATTTGATTGTTGCATGCATTGAAACTAACCAAATTTCTCAGTTCTCCTATATTCTTTGGAATCTCTCCAATTGCGTTATTTGAGACATCAAGTTCTTTAAGATTAATCAGATTTGATATTTCTTCTGAAAGCCTTGTTAACTGTAACAAAAATCAGATCATTACACTTTTATTAATAATTTTTATGACTAAACATTATCAAATTAAAAGGAGAAATATTTTTATCTTCTTTTCATTATGCCACAATTTCTTAGTTATGTACTTCTTATCTAAACCTGGACAATATCCGGTAGCATTCAAGTAATTCCCCAGCCTGGTCAATACTACTGGTTGTATTCGGCTAAACTGCTTTATTCTCAGCTGTCCAATCCAGGTGTTCATTGCTACTTAATATTTTCCCTTTCCTACTTCCCAGCGCCTCCCTCCCACAAATATGACCACATTTTGGTTTCATCTCCTCCCTGAAGTCTTTCCAAATTGCTCTGTTTCATGTTTGCTCTGTTTATTCATTCTTATACTTTTCAATTAGGGCTTGTCATTAATTACTAGTTCTGTATGTTTTCCTTGGATTCTTAAATGACACCATGTTTCATGTTTTATACTTTCAGTGTACATGCTACAAAGCAGGGTCCACTTCGAATTAACTCCTACTAAAACTGCCTTGAGTATATGCAGGTAATTTGGCAACAAAATACACTTACACAAAACAATTAGGGAAGAAAAAAGGAGTAAGTAATCAAATGCCAAAGTGGAGACTACTAAAAATAATTGCTATATTGGTGTTTAGAGAAAATAGATCAGTACTTTAAATAAGAAAAGGGGAAAGGTGAGATTGAAGAGCCTATTTAAAATGGAATGAAAGTTACAGGATATTTAAAGCAAGCGAAATAATAGGCCCAGCAATGACCAGCTGAAAACTCAGCAATAAAGAGGTGATAGGAAGCAGAAGATACATGAAGGCAAGAAGCTTGAAACCAAACTAGCAAAGCATGATAGCTGGATTTATGATGGAGTAGGATTATGAGAGGTGGACAGATGCATAAACTATCAATCCTTTAAGTTAATATTCTGTAATCACCTGCTTATCTTTTTATTATGCATTGTCCAAACAATCCCAAATTTATGAAAATGCTCCATTCCAATGACTTCATTATTAAGTTAGTTCTGATGTAAGCCATGTATCACTTTTTGTTGTTGTTAGGTGCTATTGAGTGGGTGGCAAATCATAACAATCCTATGAACAAAAGAACAATGCATTGGTTTGTCCTGCACTCTCTTCACGATTGTTGCCATGGTTGAGCCCGTTGTTGCAATCACTGTGCCGATCCATGTCACTGAGGATCTTTCTCTTCTTTCTGAACAGTCTTTACAGTGCCATTCTTCAAGAATTGGTCCATCCAGAACACACCCACAGCACGCACAATGAAGTCTTGTCATCCTTGTTTCTAGGGAACATTCTGACAGTACTTCTTCCAAGACAGATTTATTCATGGTATATTAATATTCTTCACCAATATAATAATTAAAACACACCATTTTTTTATTGTTGTGGTGTTTTTTTTTACACTTTCCATACTGAGTGATCCTGCAAGTATTAAATGAAGATAGAAAGAGTATACAGAGTCATTATACCAGAAGGAATTGGCAGACACAGAAGAATTTCATGAAACAACATATGAGCTATGGTTATGAAGGAAGAAGTTCAGACTACTTTGAAAGAATTGGATAAAAATAAGGCCCCAGGAATAGATGGTATACCAATTGACATATTTCAGCTAACGGATGCTGCACTGGACCTGCTCACCTAGTTGTGCCAAGAAATCTGCAGAACAACCACTTTGCCAACTGACTGGAAGAGATCTATATTTGTTCCCATTCCAAAGAAAGGTGACCCCACAGAGTGTGGAAATTATTGAACAATATCATTAATATCACATGCAAGCAAGATTCTGCTGAAGGTTATAAAAAAAAAAACCGACTGCAACAGCACATCAACGGAGAACTACCAGCAGTGCAGGCTGGAAAGGGGTTGTGGTACTAGGGATATTGTAGTTGATGTTAGATGGATCTTGGCTGAAAGCAAGGAGTACCAGAAGAATGGCTATCTGTGTTTCATTGATTACACAAAGGCATTTGACTGTGTGGATCATAACAAACTGTGGCTAACTCTGAGAAGAATGGGAATCCCAGAACACTTGATTGTGCTAATGAGAAACCCATACTTGGACCAGGAGGCAGTCATAGGAACAGAGCAAGGAAACACTGAATGGTTCAAAATTGGGAAGGGCATATGCCAGGGATGTGTCCTGTCTCCATACCTTTTCAACGTGTATGCAGAACAGGTTATACGGAGGCTTGGCTCTATGAGGAGAAATGTGGCATGAGGATTGAAGGAAGAATCATCAACAATCTGTGTTATGCAGATGACACATCCTGCTTGCTGAAACTGAGGAGGACCTGAAGCACTTGCTGTGGAAGGTCAGGGACTGCAGTCTTCGGTATGAATTGAGACTCAGTATCAAGAAAACAAAGATTCTCACCACTGGGCTGATTGGCAGCATCAGGATGGATGGTGAAGAGATTGAGATTGTTCACAGTTTTGGTTTTCTTGGCTCCACAGTCAACACTCTTGGCACCAGCAGCCAAGAAATTAAAAGATGTATGCAATGGGAAAATCTGTAGTTAGAGACCTCTCTAAAGTGCTGAAGTGCAAGGATGTCAGTCTGGAGACTAAGGTGCACCTGATCCAGCCATGATCTTTGCAATCACTTGCATGCATCAGAGAGCTGGACAATGACTAAGGATGATAGAAAGAGAATTGATGCGTTTGAGCTGTGTTGTTGGAGAAGAGTATTGAATATACCATGGACTGCTAGGAAAGTAAACAGATTTGTCCTGGAGAGAGTGAAGCCAGGCTGCTCCATGGAGGCAAGGATTCTGAAGCTTCGTCTGATCTATTTTGGACATGTTGCAAGGAGGGACCAGTCCTTGGAGAGGAATGTCATGCTTGGGAGGGTGGAGGGACAGTGTAGGAGAGGAAGACCCTCGATGAGATGGATTAATTCAGTGACTAGGATAATGGGTGTGTCGGAGATGGTGAGATTGGCACAGGACAGGACAGAGTTTTGGGCTGTTGTACATAGGGTCGTTATGAGTCACAGGCGACTCAATGGCACATAACAACGACAACAACAACAACATATTTACATTTTAACACTGACTTTCATCTCAAAATCACATATCCGTATACCTTTTTTTTTCTTTCTGGTTTCACTTGAAAGCAAATGCAACAAAGATGGTAAACAAATACCATGTTTGTTCCATGTAAAAACAGAAAGGACTTTTAATAGAAATTCATCAACTCTCCCACTTTTTTATTACAAAAACTGGTATCAGAATCATTCTGAACATATTTTTGATACTAATACTAGTCAGCATCCATACATCTTTCAAAAATTAACAATAATTTTCATTGTACCTGCTACTTTAAACACTTTAAACTCCAGCTCTTTCACTCAGCCAACATAAAGTATGTCCTTCATAGTTTCCTCCTGGAGGTTGGTTTTTCAGAAACATACATCCTTCCACAGCAACCTGGCACTTTCCCAGCAAGCTTCCTCCTTGTAAACCTGAGTTCTATTTTGAGGATTCCAGGTTTATGCTTAAGTGACAGTTGCCTTGATAAGAGGGATGTGCTGCATTTTTCCTGCTGAGACCTGAAAACATAATGTGTGTATATATGCTAAGTGTATTCCTACAACTATCCAGGTCATATTAACCAGCTGGACTTCTTTGACTTAATGTGTGTATATTTTCCATTGTGATGCTTAATCAAAACATTAACATGAGTAGAAAGTTGTTAAAACAAACTTGAGATCCATTATTGTTACATGTCACTCCTTCTGGTGCTTGTGGAAGCTTTGCGTTTTCTTTGGACATCATTAAATATCTTAACTCTTAAAGTACATCTTTAAGGCTGTATGAAGTTTGCCATTTTGCTAACATTGGTATGCTTTGTACATCCACCACTCCACTGAAATGATTTATTCCATTCATATTACTTTTTCTTACAAATCTAACTGATGGAGGAACTTCTGGATATTCAGGTCCACATTCTATTTTCAGGCTTTATATTCTGTTTTCATAGCTTGTCCTTGGTGGTCCAATAATCATGCCTGTCCACCTTGTAAGTGTCATATCTTCATCATTTTCAAGGCTCCAGCTAACCGTACCATCGCCTACTCCTCTTTGTCCTTAAACTTCTTCCAACAGATGAAAATGCCAAGCAACTTTCACTCCTGTAGCACCTCTTATTGTCTTTTGTTATCAGTAATTTTGCAAGTTTGCTTTTAAGAGCTGGATGCTTACATGGGAACTTGCGTGTATATATGTATATGCACACACATACATAGAAAATACACAAGCCATAAAAGTTCACTCTGATTGTAAAGAATTAGAAAACATTGCCTTTCACTACTTGTGGTAATTAATGCCACTTGCAGAAGGTTCTGTATCATCTAGTTATCACTGAGAATGGGGATAGCAACTCCAGCCAGAAGATTAGTCAAAGTTGTTAGCTATGCCCTGTTTCCTCCATCATATATTTTGCTGTGATATCTCACTGCTTCCTGAATCTGCCTATCAGTATTAGCAAAGTAATTGGTGTTAGCAAAGTAATTGGTGTTTGGGTCCAAGTTTCCAAGCCTCTGATTTAGTTTTAAGACACAATCTTTTCATTGTAAAATTGTTTGTGTGACAGCTTATCTCCTTACTTATCTTTATTCTATTTTACTTCAGTATTGCTTTCCTTTTCCATGAACACTTGATCTGTGACTATCTTTTTCATAATCTATGAGCTGATCTCACATCAGTAGTATCAAGTTCTAAATTCAGCGTTCTTGCCATATGAGCGCTTTATGGTCAATTACTTCCAACATTTCAGCAATTCTTTCTAAACCCTATGTATGCATTTTGCTATTACTTCCTCCCACAAAGATGCTATGTTCTAAATAGAACAAAGGATATGATAATTCTTTCAAAAAACATGTAATGTTACTGTACCTACATCTGCAGTAGCCATTACCTGAGCAAATGATATTGGTAAGTAGTGTCCCTTCAAAGTGGCATTTGCACCTTAATCCACAAGCTGAATCACGTCTTAATTAAGATAACTTTTTATGAGCACAGAGGTTTAATCTTTAGAAAGTCCCATTATCAACTTAATCCATTCTGGACTGTATATTTCTAGCTGTATTTGGCAGTCTCTTTATACCATAGACTAGGCCTTCTAAGCTTGATACCAGTTTGTCTCTTATGAACTTTATAGGTTGGGGCTTTACTCCCAGGTCTCTGTTCTATCTTGAGTTGATTTTTTTTTTTGCCTCAGTTCTTTTTATTATTCTCAAGGATATTGATTTGTATTTTCATAGTAGATATTCTTGGAAATGGATTTATTTGTTATAAGGCTGAAGATCCTGATACATATCGCTTAACCTTCTTGTCACACAGAAGGCTCGAAACTGGAGATCTTGAGTTTATTTTTGTGTGTGGTGTGAGATGTGGATCCTGTTTCAGCTTTCTGCAGGTAGTGGTCCAGTATTACCAGCACCATTTGTCAAAGAGGTTGTCATTTCCACATTTGATTGGTTTCATTTCCTTGTTGAATATAAATTGATCATAGATAGATAGGTTAATTTCTGGGTTCTCAATTCTGTTCCATTAGTTTATGTGCCTGTCACTGTACCAGTATCATGCTGTTTGGGTTACTACCACTGTGTATTAGGTTTTGAGGTCAGGGAGTACTGTTTCCCACTTCATTTTGTTTTTCAGAAGTGCTTTTCTTATTCAGGGTCTCTTTCCTCTCCAAATGAACTTTAAAATTTCCCTTTTTTTTTTTTTAAAAAATTTCCCTTTCAATCTCCTTGAAAAATGAATACAATATCTGGACTGGGATTACATTGAACATGTAGATTGTTTTTGATAGGTTTGTCATGTTCACAATATTGAGTCTTCCTATCCATTAATAAGGCACGTTTCCCCACTTATTTAAGTTTCTTATTGTGTCTTGCAGAAATGGTCGGTCCCCCCCCCCAACATGGTAAAAAAACCTTTTTCCAATAGTATGAAAAAAAGTCTACTGACTGGGAACAAACATTTGGCAATGCCATCTCAGACAAGGGTCTCAAAACAAGAGTTTACAGAATACTCCTGGACCTCTAGAAGGAAAAGACTGATAACACAACTATAAAATGGGCAATAGACATGGAAAGACTTTTCACAGAGGAAGACATTCATTGATGCTGAAAATCACTGGCAATAAGAGAGATGCAAATCAAAACCACAATAAGATACCGTCTCATCCCAGTAGCAGTGGCAAAGTTTAGTAGGGCAGCAAACATTAAATGTGGGGGAGGATGTGGAGAGGTGGGAACTCTCTTGCACTGTTGGTGGGATTGTAAAATGATACAACCACTCAAAAAAAAATGATACAAGCACTCTGGAAGACAGTTTGGCTTTTCCTCAAAAAGTTGAATATTGAAATCCATATGACCCAGCAAAGAATACATCCTAAGGAAATGAGAACTGACACACAAATGGAGATTTGTACATCAATGTTTATAGCAGTATTATTCACCATCACAATAACATAGAAACAGCCCAAATGTTTAACCACAACTGAAATAATTGAGAAATTGTGGTACATTCACACAATGGAGTACTATGCAGCACTCAAAATTAAGGATTAAAAAAATACTATGTAACTTGGGAGAGGCTGTAGAGCACTAAGCTAAGCGAACTAATGCAGTCTCATAAGGACAAATACTATATAAAACCATTATTATAAAAATAGAAGGATAACTAGTAAGACATGCATGGGAACTCATGAGAGGGAGGGCTGAGGAAGGATGGGAAGGGGCAAAACCACAGGATTGCACAGTTTGGTGGATAGAAGAAAGGGGGGGAAGGAAATGGGAATGATCCGAGTGAAAAAACAGGGTAATGATGGGCAAGGTCCAATGGTGATAAATTTTATAAAACATAATGCATGAGAATAATTGTATGAAACACAATGTGAATGAAGAATAGCATGAAACACAATGTATATGAATTTTGTGCACAAACAAAAAACATAAATTTTAAAAGTCAAAACACCTAAATGAAAAAAAAAGGAAAAAAAAACACCTAAATGAAAGCAAAAAATAAAGAGCTAGAAAAATTTTTTAAAAAAGGATGCCTAGAGGTGTTACCAAGTAACAACAGAATCTTGACTACTATCAGTTTGATTCATCATAAGTTATATTAAGCCAAGGACTACCTGAAAGTTGTGTGAAGATAGAACTACTGTAGAAAGAACACTACAATTGCACATCATTCATTCAGCAAAGTAGAAAGCCTGAGATCAACGAGACCCATGCTCTTCAGGTGACTGTTTAGTGACCTTTTGCTGTTACCAAAATTAATCCTTTGGACATTTCATCCTCACCTCAGAGAATCTATCAAAATGGTTTCCCCAACACAAAAATATTGCCTTAAGAAACCATCCATGTTGAATAAGTGACAGATACATAAATTGGATTCCTGACAAGCAGACGTGATACACAGAAATTGGAAGCCTCTGGTCTGAAAAACATTGCATTAGAATTTTGTAAATAAGCTTCCTCTAGGATTAAAGCCTGATGGCTTTGACAAGGCACAACAAAACAGAGGAGCCTGTGTAATAGGGCATATTCAGGAGCCTTCTAGAATAATCTAGGCTTGAAGTAGAAATTATAGAGGCAGAGATATTAGAAAACCAGAGATAATAGAAAAGCTATTTATTTTTTTAAAAAGAAAACATTTTCATGCAAAATTGGGTAAAACCAATGATGAAAAGAGAAGTTAATTGATGAGTCTAGGATTTCTAGGATGAGAGAAAGCTGGCATCACAACTAGATCCAGGGGAGTTTTGAAAGGATTTATGCTAAAGAGGAAAGATAAGTTTGATTTAAAAGAAATGCTGAGTGCGAGACAACAGAAATGTAGAACAGAATTTACAGTCAAGAGCTGTGAAATTAGAGCATGGATAGGAGATAAGCTCAGATTATGTAGGTAAGAGCATGCAAGTGACAGGTGTGCTAAATCTAGAAAGAAGTTAATGGAAAGGAAAAGAGAAGGTCAAGGACACCACTTTGGAAGCATTCACAGTTAAGATTCAGGAAAGGAAGATGAGAAAACAATAAATCAACCAAGGAAATAGCTGATGTTTATAACATAGACTTAAACTAGTAAGGGTATTTTCGTACAAAAGCAACTTTAAAATATGTGTTGGATTCATCAACAAGCAAGGGTTCTCCAAGGTAGCCTTTCTGGAAGTGTATGGTGGTGTCAAGTTAAAGCATGAAGAAGTCTGAGAGATATGGATAAAACAGAAGCAAAGCAGTTTCTTTAGTGCAGGACTTCTGCGTTTTTAATATACTAGTATTCACAGTGATTCTCTAAGAGAGGGAACAAGTTTTACCTAGAGCGACTTGATCAAAGATCCTTGTTGAGCAAATTAAAGATAGCAAGATGACACCTGTGCTATATCATTTACTGAGCTCTTAATATCACCGAGGAGTTCTAGAGGCTTAGAAATGGGAAGTTGTTCTGTCAACCCAAAGGCACTCAGTTGAATCCATCAGCTAGTCTATGTGACAGAGACAGGGAATCTCCTCCTGAGCAGTATCTTCCCTTTGCATATACAAAGGAGGTCAGTCATGAGTCGATTGCTAAAAAAAGTTTCACAGGTCAAACCCACTACACATGAAGCGATACTATATTGGAAAGTGACACTCCCCAGGAGTAATCCCCCCCCCTTAAGATTTACAGCCTCAGAAATTTTATGGAGGTTCTCCATGAGTAAGAGCTGATAACAATGGGTTAGGATTAGATTTTAATATCAATAAGTAATAATTTTTTTAAAAAAACCAACATACCTATTTCTGTAAAATTCACTCTTAAGAATTTAAAGTAAAATGAAAGGCTAACATAAATAATGCTTAATCTTATTGACTCAACAATTTTTTCATTTAAACTCTTCTAAGGCAGTGGACTAAAATATGTAAAAGGTCATTTTTATGGAGTTTATTATGTTATTTATAATAATTTAAAAAGTAAATCTTGAAAAACTTAATAACAGGTATTTCTGTAAGTCATATATTTGTTAAAATTATTATTACCATATTATGGAGAAATGCTTACTAAATATTAAGTGGAAATGAAGAATTTAAAACTATATTCTATCTTTTAAAAATTGTCTACTAGGCAAGAAAGGATTAGAAAAGTTTTAACAATATACATTCAATAGTTTACCAAAGTATTCTTATGGAATGGTTTTTAGATTTTTTTTTGTCCAGTTCTTTTTTTCTACTTTTCAAATTTTCTGAAATGTGTTTATATCATATTTAAAACTTTAGGACTCATTACCTAATTAAATGGTTTTTTACAAATTATAAAATTAATTTTAATGAAATATTTTCTTTAAACCTCTTTTTGTGTTATTTGTAAACCTTATTTAGAAAGTCAAAGTTTACAATTAACAAACTATTCCAGCTACCTTTCACACACACACACACACACACACACACACACACACACACACACACACACACAGTTTAGACTAGATGCTACTCCAGTTCTTCCTTCTCTAAAAGCTCAGCATGTGCCAGAAGTATGCAGTTCGAATCCACCAGGTGCTCTGCTGGAGAAGGAGGGGCAGTCTCCTCCTGTACTAGTCAGATCTGATTTGACAATACACACAAAAAACAATAAAATAAAATTTTTTAAAAAGCTCAACATGTAAGTCTCTTACCTTTCTCCCATTCGTCTGACTTAAATTCAGCTCTTGCAATGACTGCACAGTACACAATTCGACAGGAAAATCTACAAATTGATTGCTTGAGAAGTTTAATTTCTGGATTCCTTTTAGTTTGTAGATGTCTGAAGGAATTATCTGTATTTCATTTTCTGAAAGATCAAGTGTCTGCAAATTTTCTAAAGCACACAATTCTTTAGGGAAAATTTCAAATTTATTGTGGCATAAAATAAGCACATGGAGTGATACCATATTGGAAATAGATGATGGGATATTCTTTATTTTATTTTTACCAAGATCCAGGTAGTTGAGGTGAATAAGGGAGCAAAGGTACTCAGGAAATATGGAGAATCTGTTCTCACTAAGCTCTAAATGAAATAGTTGTTTACTGAAAGATATATCCAGAGGTAATTCAGAAATATAATTGCCATTAAAACATAGATGACTAAGAGAAGTTAAAGCACATAGACCTACTGGAAAAAATATTATTTGGTTATGGCTTAAATTAACTCTAGTTATTTTTCTGCAGTTTTTTATTTCAGTGGGAACAGTTGTGATTACATTTCCTGAAAATTCGAGACTCCATATATAATTGAGATGTGAGATGTCTTCAGTTATTTTCAACATATTATTTCTGTTTACGTGGAGTTGTCTTAAATTTTTAAGCTTGTGGATATTCTTAGGAAGTTCTGTTAACTTGTTATCATTAAGACTAAGGCATTCCAACATTACACAGTGGGAAATTTTATCTGGTATATCTTTCAATAAATTTTTATCCAATGTAAAAATTCTAAGTTCCTTGAAATTCTCAATTTTGTGTGAAATAGCTTCCAGTTTATTGTCAGCCAATTGGAGTACTTTCATTTTGAGCAACAGAAAAATTTCCACAGCCAAAAAAGTAAGTCTATTGTGGTCAAGTAAAAGGCATTCTAAATTTTTAAGTTCCTTAATTTCTTTCGGCAAACTGCTTATCAGGTTTCCACTAAGGTTTAGTGAGACCAAACGGGAAAGGAAGCATAGGGCTTTAGGAAATACTGTTAATTGATTATATTCCAGATTGAGAATCCTCAATTTTTCCAAATTAAGCACAGTTTCTGTTATGTGTCTTATCTTGTTATTAGCCAAACTTAAAATTTCCAAGTTTTCAAGATTTTCTAAGCCAGAAGGAAAACTCTCAATGTAATTGTCATTAAGAAAGAGTTGTCTGATATTAACAAGTTGTGTTATTTCCTTAGGGATATGTGATATTTGGTTGTGACTCACGTTTAGTATTCTTAAATTTGAGAGTAAGTGTATCTCCGATGGAAGTGATACTATCTTATTTTCTTTCAAGGACAGACTTTCAAGCCCCACAAGATCACCTGGATCAGCTTGAAAAGTTTTTATATGGTTTTTATCTAAATAGAGATATTTCACATACTTCATTTTTAAAATGTCCTTAGGTAATTCCTGTAAACCAGTAGCTTCAAGATTCACTGTAAAATTATTTGACTCCAAGTCAGGTCTTTTCAGGTTTTCGTCGTGCGTGTCACTATGTGGGTGGTCACACACTCTCTGATATTCTTCAATGTCACCACTTTCTGACAATGATGGCTTTTGTGAAATTTCTGATGCTGAAGTTTCTGATGTTGAGTTGACACTTTCAATAATTGTTTCAGAAAGTGAAAGTTTTTCCTTTAGTTCTTTATTTCCAGAGGATGCTGTGGACTCTAAAGTATCCTCTCTAGGAGGTGCTTCAAAAACCTTGTGGGATGCTTCTTCCTCTCCCAGGTTTTGAGAAGTTTTGTGAAACAAATCTGTTGTTTCTTCAGTCAGTATCAGCTCTTCCATTGAGTGTGCTATAGATTCTTTTTCAAATTGGCCTGTGACATCCTGCAGCTCTTCCAAAGAGCTGTCCTCCTTTGCAGACATCTTACTTACAGATACCTATTATTATATCGCTACCGGACTGCCACTTGATTTTCATTCTCCTGCTTATTTTTTTCCCTCTGAACCTATAAAAAAAAGTTCACATTAAAAGAAGAGATGAAGTAAAAATGTCAAAATTGCAATTGAGTTTTAATTCATAGAGACTACAGGGTATAGAGCAATATGTTACTTTGTATAGAATAGCTTAGTAAGTAGAAAATAAGACATATATAAATAATAGACTAATTTTATGTCTGATACCTTTCTCTCTCTCTCTCTTTCTCACACACACACACACACACTCTGACTGTGAGTCACAGAACTGACTCACAGCTGAACTCCCATTCAGTTTCCAAGGCTGCAAATCGCAGGGGATCTTGCCTCTCTTTCTCCCCAGCAGCTGCTGGTGAATTTGAACAGCCAGAGTGATGTGGCCTTTGGGTTAGCAACTCACCTCCCTATGGATTTCTCCACCCGAGCTCCTTTGTTCCTATCAAGGAGAGTTTATTGACTACATGCATTCATTGCATATTATTCTCAAGGTCACCTTAAAATGAAGTTGTTTTAGATATTGTTATGAGCTGTCGAGTTGGAATTGACTCATAGGTGACCCTCCAGCAGGTTTTCAGAGGCAGTAAATCACACGGAGTAGTTGGTGGATTCAAATCACATACCTTTGGGATTACAGCACAACTTCTTACCAGTAGGCCACCAAAACGCCTTTGTTCCTGTCAAGGATAATTCATTGGTTACATGCATGTATTGCCCAGTATTCTTGAGATCACATTAAAATGAATAGAAATAACAACGATTTTAAAACATAATTGGAGAGTAGACATCCATGAAGGAGATTGGACATGGTAGATTTGCATATGGTACTAAAGTGTCTTGGAACAGATCTTGGCACATATCCAAAGCATTACAGCAATTTTCCAATAAGTGGAAGTAAAATGTCTTAACTGAGGGAACATTTTTTGTGAGATTAGGAGACTGCAACTTGATTTGAGGTCTTTGTGTACCTCCTGAGGAATGAGTATCAGCTGGGAAGAACCTCTCCTCAGAAGCCTGGCTCCAAGCTCCATCCCTCTTCCAAGCTTGCACTGTTTTTCTTCAGAGCAAGTTCGTTTTTCACTCAACAACGCATTCACATTTTGCTTCATAACTTTAGTTGCCGTCCCCTCAATGCAATAGCATTCTTCTAGCTCGCTTCCCCTCTGGTTTCCTGTTTCCATTTATCCTCCTTTCTACCCCTTGCTGCAATCCAAGCTTTGTCTTAGGGCAAATGCCACCCTGTTGGTCTCCTGTGGTTGATTGTTCTGTGGAGTATGTTCCTCCCAAGAGTATTATAGTCCTGCCATTTGGCTGCAGGGTGATGTCAAGGAACGGGCTCAGTTCCCAGATGTCTAAGAAGGATGTCGAAGAGCAGCTTTAGATATTAGTCTTGGTGTTCCACCAGTCTCCTTAAGTAAGCCTAATTTTTTAAAAATTATTTTAAATTTTGTCCAGGACCTTCTATAGTCCCGATCAGAGCGGTCAAACAGGGGTCGTGGAGGCTGTGGTTCGTGTGGAATGGGGTAATGGAGGCTGTTGTTCATGTGGTCCATTTTCATTTAGTGAATTGTCTTTTTAAAAAATTGTCTTCGTGATCCTTTTATTACCTTCACTCTTCTTTCTTCTAGATTAAGAGAGATCAATAATTTCCTCTTAGAAGACTGCATGCTGGCTTTTAAGATCTTGGTCACTATTCATCACACACTACCTTTACGAACCTGGTTATGCCAATTGACTTAGGTACCCTTTAACACCTTAAGCCCAGTGACCCATTCCTTCAAGGTGTTTAATTACAGCTAAGAAGTTGTCATAACTTTGCCTCCTGTTTGCTCGGCTGTACATGGACAGAATGTATTTACAACATCTAAGAACACCTACGTAGCAATGTCTGGTGCCAGACCTCTATTTGGTTGTAGGCGTTGTTTCATGTATCTGCCCACACCTGTTCAGCTTGCAAGTCTGCATATGTTTCCACTTGTTTACTTCTGTTTGTTACTCAATTGTAGTATCTGAAAAACTAAGAACACCTACGTAGCAATGTCTGGTGCCAGACCTCTATTTGGTTGTAGGCGTTGTTTCATGTATCTGCCCACACCTGTTCAGCTTGCAAGTCTGCATATGTTTCCACTTGTTTACTTCTGTTTGTTACTCAATTGTAGTATCTGAAAAACTAATCTCTTCTCCCTCCACTCTGGAAAAGTAGCTACCCCTTACCTGCTGGCATTGTTTTGATTCCCTTTAATGACCCTATTTAGTGACTCTATAGGACAGCATAGAACTGTCCCATATAGTCTCTAAGGCTGCAGTCTTCACAAAATCTGAAAGGCATAGCTTTCTCTTTCGGATTGCCTGGTGGGTTTGAATTGCTGACCTTTCAACTTGAAGATGAGTACTTACCCACTGCACCACTACGGATAATAGCTACTTCCTATATTTACTAATTCAATATTGCAGTCAATGGCCATAGTCTTTTCAATCACTTGCTATGCCTTTGAGAGCTACGCAATGAATAAGGATGACAGAAGATGAATTGATGCCTTTGAGTTGTGTTGTTGGAGAAGAGTACCTAATTTACCATAGACTAAAAAACCAAACAAACTAAAAACCACAAAAAACAAAACAAATATGTCTTGGAGGGGAAAGTGCAGCCCGAGCACTCCTTAGAGGCAGGGATGGCAAAACTTTGTCTCACCTATTTTGGGTATGTTACTAGGAGAGACTATTCCTTGGAAAGCATGCCATGTTTGGAAAGGTGAAGGGCCTGTGAAGAGAGGAAGACCTTCAACAAGATGGATTGGTACAGTGACTACCACAATGGACTCAAGGGTGCCAGAGAGTTTGAAGATAGCACAGGATAAGAGAGGATTCAGATCTGTTGTCATAGGGTTGCTGTGAGTCATACTCGACTCAATGGCACCACACAACAACAAATTACAGTAGTTTTCTTCCACCCTGTATTAAGTCCTTTCTATTATATTGGTAAGATTCTTCTGCTCTTGATTAAATGGTAACATACTAAAAAGTTAGATTGTTGTTGTTAGATAATATCAAGAAATACTCATAGAGACCCTATGAACAACAGAACTGATCTGATCTATCCTATGCCATGCTCATCATCTCTATCACATTTGAGCCCATTGCTGCAGTTCCAGTGTCAATCCATCTCATTTGAGGGTCTCTCTCTCTTTAACTGACCGTCCACCATTCCAAGCATGATGTCCCTCTCTAAGGAAAAGTCTCTCCTAGGAACACATCCAGTGTATATAAGATGAAGCTTTGCCAGCTTTCCCTCCAAGGAGCATTTTGTATCTCTTTTATCACCTTTCTCTATGTCTTCCATTTTTTTTTTTTTTAGTGATAGTGTAGTGATCATTCCTTATTGTCTGCAATTCTTGACTTTTAAGAAAATCCTCATCTGTTTTCTCTTCAAGTAATGCTCATGTTTCATTCATTCTCTCTTGTCCTTCTGGAACACAATTTTGTATTCCAATTCTGTATGTTCTGTTTAAGGGAGCTCTGGTGCTGCATTCAGTTTGGAGTTGGCCTGCAATCTAAAGGTGGCATCTCTCTGGCAGTTTGGGTCCAGTCGCAATTCTGCAAGACCAATATAGGTAATCTGCTACTGTGCAATTTATAGCCTCTGAACACACACATTGGAAAGTGAGCTATGAGTCCGCTCTGACTCAACGGTACAGAACAACAATGCATAATTCATGGTAGTGGGGTGCTGCATTCATATGTTCGACTAAGGAAAACAACAGCAAATATTATGTATACTCTAGAATGCTTTTACATCTTCTATAATTTTTGTTCATGTACTTCCTTCTAGATAGAACCTTTGCATCTACTCCCAATTCTCTTTAGCTATAGCTTAAGTTATGTCTTTTGAATTTTTCATTTTGGATAATGCCTTTTTCAGCCTTGGGATTTTCAATTGTGCTTTATTTTGGGTTTATTTTAAATTTATAATTTCAATTTTATGATACTATGTTAATTTTCAGATTTTTAAGATTGACCTTCTCTATAATAATCATGACAAAATCATCTTATTATGTTTGTCTGGTCAATATATTATGTGAATATATGTGGTTCTCCATTGTCAATTCTTGTTCTCCTATTTGTTCTTCTTTTGTACCGAGTTTCTTTTACTGTGAGATGGTAATTGCATTTGAAAAAAATAATTACTAAGTTGTTGTTGTTGTTGTTATGTGCCATCGAGTTGCCTGTGACTCATAGCGACCCTATGTAAAACAGCCCTAAACCCTGCTCTGTCCTGTGCCAATCACACTGTCTCTGACACTCCCATCCCAATTATCCCAGTCATTGAATCAATTCACCTCATAGAGGGCCTTCCCTTCCTGCACTGTCCCTCCACCCTGCCAAGCATGATGTCCTTCTCT